GATATCAGAAAAAAAATGTTAAAATTATGGAGTGCTGTAATTAATGTAAAAAAATAAAAAAATCTAGCAGCAAGGATGTAAAAAAAAAAACAACTAAAAACAAACAAGCAAACAAAACAAAAAAACAACAAACTACTGTAATGTTCAAATAATTTAAAGAACAATAAATACATGAAAATCTGGCAGCAAGAATGACAGAAAAAATATGTAAAAAAAAACCAAAACGTGAAACACTCTAATATTCAAAAACAGCAAGGGAAAAAAAAACAGTGAAAATGACAGCAAATATTTGTAAATTCATTTTTTTAAACTATAATTGACAAATTGACAAAATGGATCAAATTCCTTAGAGTTTTTTCAAAATAAAAGCCATCTTTAGTCCCTGGTTTGACTCTTGTACACAACATTTCCAGACATACAGATCAGACTGTCCCTCAGACAGCAGGTTTGTCTGACAGCAGGGTTATAAAAACAAACAGTGAGATTCTCTGGTTGCTGCACGACTTGAATGAGCATCAAAAGGAGCCATATGATACTTATTTCCTGATTGATGATGTCATTTCAGTCTTCTTCTCAGAGAGGAAAGATGGATCCATTTGTCTATAAATGACTAAATGGATAAAAAGTCTGAGCTTTTTTTAATTACAAGATGCAACTTCAGTCCTTAGAAAGAAATTCTTGAGTCTTATACATATTGTCAGAGATATTTAAATATCAGACACAATCTGAGTGAGGATTTGATCTCATGTGGTATTTCAAAAAATATCTCTAAATGTTGTGTACAAACCTCAAAAATTCAAGCTCAAGCTGCGTTTTGTCTTTTTCAAAAAAGCCAACAAATTTAATCCATATCGTCAATTATGGACGAATGGATCCAACTTTTCCTCTTCTGACACCAAGAAGAAGCCCAAAATGAAAACATGAACTGGAGATAAGTATCACGAGGCTCCTTTAAGACTCCAGACAATCTAACTTTGTGTTTTATTCGTGATATCATGCATTTTTTAATATTGTGCTGGTGGACAAACTTCTTGTCTGAATGAAAATTTGATCTACTGTGAAATCCTCCAAGAATATCTCTCTAAAGAATTTGTTTGCTGTCTTTGTTCCAAAAGCAACATCTGTGTAGCTACTATAGAGCTCACTTTTGTGTGATGCCACAGATTGATGTGGTGCTAAAAGCTGAGCAGTCGTGACTGTAGATATTTTATAAGACCTTTTTATAATGGCATTGAATTGTAGAGCTGCAGCTAACATTTGTTTTTAATCAGCTCAGTGTTTGGACTGTAACACATCAGAAAACAAAAAGCGCCACCACAATATTCTCTTGTACCCAAGATAGCATATTATGTTAACACTGAAAAGCCTGAACGTTCACTTCACAGCAATGTTAGGACGAGGGAAAGTGTCAGATTCACACTTTTGAAAAGCTGGAACCAACTTGTATTGGATATTTTTGCTGAGTTTTTTTGTGGATTGGTCACTTCATGGCTCGTCGTGGTCAGATCAGGCCTGAAGCCTTTCTAAAGAACTGGATCATGCATCCCTTTTGTCAAAAAAAACATCAATCCAATCAATATACATCAGTTGTCTTTCAAATATTGCCAAATATATATATATGTAATACTGGTTTATATACAGTAGAACTGTATAAGTTGTAGAAGAAGAAATTACTTTAATAAAAGAACAGATTTTTGGGCTGTTCTTGGTATAAGGAGAGGAAAGGTTTCATCCATTTGCCCTGTTTTCTTTTTTTATGGTGAATTTGTATTTTCTTTTGTGATTTTGGGAGGCATTATCAGGAATAAGAATTAAAAATGTAAAATGATGGTAAATGTTTTTTAAAATACTGTTAAAAACCTTCATTTTTCACAGTGTACTGTGTGGACACAGTCATCTTAAGAACCATATTTGTTATGAAAAACAAAGTGGATCACTTGTAATTTAACAAAACAGTAAAAAAGTCTGTAAAATAACCGTCATGTGGGGACATTTGTTGTATTATTCAATCTGAATAGTGTGTATGTGAAGCATATTTATTATGAGGAAGGGAAAATGGATAATCTCATGTAATTGATCAAATGTGGGAAAATGTAAAATAATAGTACATTTAATTTTTAACAGTGTACTGAGTTGTGTGGATATTGTTAGACTTTTTTTTTAACCCAGAGAGTGTTTATGTGAACCATGTTTATGACAAAGCAGGAAAAATAGGTCACATGTAATTTAACAAAACAGTAAAAAAAAATAGCAAAATACAGGAAATTGTTCAAAACACTACAGCTGAAAAATGTTCAAAGCTTTTATTTTTTAACAGTTTACTGAGTCATGTGTGGATATTGTTGTGATCTTTATTCCAGATAGTGTGACTGTGAACCATGTTTAAGATAAGCTGGGGGGAAAAAGATCCTCTGTAATCTAACTAAACAGGAAACATTTTAAATGACAGTGTACTTTGTCATCTGTGGACATGATTGTAGTTTTCAATCCAGATGGTGTGTATGTGAGTCATGTTTAATATTAGAAAGGGGAAACAGATCACTTGTACTTTTTTTGTTAAAAAGGGAAAATGCAAAATAACTGTTTATTGTTTAAAAATAGAAGAAGAAAAAAAACAGTTGAAAAGTAAAACTAATTTTTATGATAGTACCTAGTAGCATGTTGCCATTGTTGTCATTTTCAATCCAGGTTGTGTTTGTGAATCATGATTAATATGAGGAAGTAAAAATAGATCACTTGTAATTTACAAAATCTGGGAAAATGTAAACAGTAAATTGGTCTGAAAAGTTACAGCTAAAAACCTCGAATTAAAGAAAGCTATCACTTGCAGCATAAAGGCTGGTGTTACGATGACTGGTTAATCATTTCTGTTGCCCATCAGGTCTGAAAGGAGGAAGCGGACCCACCGCCGACGGACAGGGCAGCACCTTCACCTACACCTTCCACGGGGATCCTCACGCCACCTTCGCCACCTTCTTCGGAGGCTCCAACCCCTTCGAGATGTTCTTCGGGCGCAAAGCGAACGGGCGGGACGACGAGGACATGGAGGTGGACGGCAACGACCCCTTCGGCTCCTTCACCAGCTTCAACCTGAACGGCTTCCCCCGGGACGGACACGTGGGCCTTGGAGGGCAGCAGCGCCGGAAGCAGGACCCGGCCATCATCCACGAACTGAGGGTCTCCCTGGAGGAGGTCTTCCACGGCTGCACCAAGAGGATGAAAATCTCCCGCAAACGCTTGAATCCCGACGGCAGGACCATGCGAAACGAAGATAAGATCCTCACCATCGAGATCAAGCGGGGCTGGAAGGAGGGAACCAAGATCACGTTTCCTCGGGAGGGGGACGAGTCGCTGAACACCATTCCTGCCGACATTGTTTTCGTCATCAAGGACAAACCGCACCCCCACTTTAGGCGGGAAGGATCCAACATTGTGTATCCTGTTCGCGTTAGCCTACGACAGGTGAGCCGGTTTCCTATTCCAGCAGCACCCACTTTGACTGGCGGTATTAATAGAGTCTGATAGATGGATTAGTCACACACAGGGCAGTTTCCGAACGAGTTCACATTTAGCCCAGAGTGCTGCTTTAAAGCCGAAACTCTGAAAAGCTCGGTCACAATCAATAAACCGTAGGTACTCGGCCTCAAACGCTGCTTCCCTGGAAAGTACGGGAGGCTGAATGAGCATAGTATACCGAGCTACACACTCACTTTGGCTGCGCCCTTATGCAATCTGGATCATCAACATTGAGAAATAGGAGCTGTATCGCAGGGAGGCCAGAGAGGCGACAGTCGCCCACGATCACACGGTGCAAGATGTACTTATATGGTTCCTCCCACTCTGCTCGCTGATACATCTCATCTCTGAGTATCTGACCACTATATGCAGATCAGCTCTGCAAGACGTGATTCATGCCGAGGAATCAAAAATATTCGAAGCGACCTTTTAATGGCTTTCCAGTCCAATCACAACGAGATATTTCTGTAGTCAAATGGAGTTGTAATGTATCAGCATGAGAGGCTCGTCCTGGAGGGTTTTTTTTTTGTAGCTTTTCCAACCAGAGCAACACGAAAACAGATAGAGGACGATCAGACTGAGAAATTATGACCACCTGTTGTCATGTGAAGACAAATAATCAAACTCCATCCACTAATGAAGACAACTAATGTGGTTTAAAGCAGGTAAAAGCTCTGGAAAAGCTTTTTTTTTGTGCACTTTGAGTTAGTTTTATTCTGTCAAAATAGCTGAATAATCAACTCCTCCATAGGTCTGCAAATTGAAATACTACAAATCAATGTTAACTCGATTGTTTGGACTTTTACTGTCTAGTTGCACCAGCTTTTTGGTATTTATATCTGAATAACTGCATGTCTTCAGAAGGCAGATGTCAGTGCATCACTTCTAGGCTAATGGGAGCCTCGAGCACAGAGATCTCCAACTCTGGTCCTCGTGAGCTACTGTCCTGCAGGTTTTAGACGTTTCCGTACTGCAACACACCTGACTCACATGAATGGATCTCCAACAGCTTGTTGTCAAGTTCCACACAAGTCTGTTAATGATCTATTAATTTGATATTTGCAGCACAGAAACATCTAAAACCTGCAGGACAGTAGCTCACGAGGACCAGAGTTGGCGATCCCTATATGGCATCAGTGTCTAAGTTGCAGCAACGCAAATTGCGGTTCTGAGAAGTCAAACTGAGTCTGAAGTCATTTAGAAACAGAATCTCCTGCAACTAACCATTCTTTACACTGCTCATTAATCTGTTTATCCTTTTTTTATTAGTCAATCATTTGTTTCGTCCATGAAATGTCACAAAATGGTGAAAAAAATGAGCACAAGATGTTTTGTCAACAGCCCAAAGATATTCAGTTTAATATCACTGTGGAGGAAAGAAACCAGAAAATATTGATATTTAATGAGCTGGAATCTGAGAATTTACACGTTCTTCTTCTCTCAGACTGATTAATCGATTAGCCAAATAGCTGGCAGTTTAATTTAATGGCTGACAAGTAATCGATTAGTTGATTAATCGCTGCAGCTCTGTCCAGCTCAGTGCAGGTCTTTGCTATAATTCTTTAAAAACAGTTATATTAAAGTGTTTCATGACATAATGTGGTTATATATGAGAAGAAACAATATAGACCAATATATTGTTAGTAGTATTAATCTGTTTAATTATGTTCCCAACAAGCCTCATGATAGTTGGTAGACTTTGACATAAAAGGTGTCTTGCTTGTTGTAGATTCTCAGAAAGCTGTAATTAAAAAAAGGTCATTTAAATTGTTATTTTACAGAAATGTCAAAACATATCAAGGTTTGATTACACTATGTGCAGTATAGAGATGGGAATATATAGAATTTTGGCGTTAATCTCAGCCAGTGAGCAGATCTGCGTGTTATTTTTGCCTGCAGCGGCTCATGTGTGGGTTGCTGTTCTCCTGCTGATCCTCACTTACACCCATATTCTCGTTTCTGCAGTCGCTGTGCGGATGCTCGGTTACCGTGTCGACGATAGACGGGAAGACGTGCAACATGAAGATCACGGACGTCATCAAGCCCGGCATGAGAAAAACTGTCGCCGGGCAGGGCCTCCCCTTCCCCAAAAACCCCGAGCAGAGAGGAGACCTGGTGGTGGAGTTTGACGTGAACTTTCCCGAGACGTTGCCCGGCAACGCCAGGGACGTCCTGAAGCGGCATTTACCGGCTTAATGGCGACGGACTGAACAGCCCTCGATAACGCTCCCACAGAAACGCACTCCCACAAGGACAGCTCTGACAGTTCACAGATTGAGCCCCAACTGACGAATGTGCAATTTCTATTCTTGAGCTATTTTGGTGTTTTTTTTATAAATGCCATGCATGCTGCCAAGTTGATACAAGTGCAAGCAAAAGACTGTTTGGACTGTTGATATCTGAAAGTTGTATGTACGTGGGCCTTTGCCATAATCACTATCTTTCTGTTTGTTGGAAATATTTGTCTGTGAATGAGTATACAGTTGCCAAAAAAAAAAACAACCATCCCATAGATCCTGGGAAAAACTTTAGTGCCAAGCAATCCATTTTCTGGCTCTTATTTAGATTTTACAGGACGAATTATTGACACTTTATATCGCCGTTTTTCACATTTTATTTCGTCACGATTAGCTTTCACTTTGGAGGCTGTCTTACGATCTGCGTGCGAGCAATTCAAGAGGAAAGCGGTGGAATGAACTGGTGCAGTGTGTGCATTTTACTAATTTGTGAAGATGTGAAGAATTTTAAAATAAATATTTCCACACGAACTGATCTTGAGCTGTTTCAGTCATGGAGGTGAAGAATCCTCCTCCATGAAACCAAACAGTGTGTTAACTTTAAAATCGCTTTAAAAAATTGCTAAATGCTGCTTTTAGGGGTTATTTATAGTCTGTGTAGCAACATTTCACACAACGGGGCTCTCTGCAGCGCCTGGAAATTCTATATTTTGATAGTCAAATGTGAATATTTTGTCGTTGTAAAGCTTCTACGGTAACATTTTTGATGTGCAAAGATCAAAATTAAAAATATCTTGACTGAAATTTATTGCTTAAGGTCACATTATGGTGAAGGTATGACTGTGTAAATATAGCTGTCTGCTGTCAGCTGCTCAGCTTCAGCTGCCAACAAAGAGGCATTTACGTTTTCCCACCAGGGGACGCCACATCACTCGTCATGACTCAGGGGCCCACACAGGGGACGGCCCACGTTTGCAAAAGGGGCCACATCTACCTATCTGTCTGTCTGTAAAAGACAAGAGGCCTCTCGGTGCACCAATTCTCCCTTTTTGCAGGCAAACGTTTGTATCGAACAGCGCATCTGTCCCTGAAATACTTGCGTGTTCGTCAGCATGTGTTAGAGATTTGTGCAAACGATGAGTCAGTATGATCCAGGGAGGGAGGAGAGTAAACACACCTGCTGCTGCTCCGTGTGGGAGCTCACCAGCCGACGGTTAAGAATCAGTGTAAAACTGATTGGAAACGGGAAAACGTTTTTTTGTGACGAATGCAAAGTAATGACCACTCACTAAACAGCTTCATGTGAAATCATGTGGGTTTGAATCACTGAACCTTCGTCATTAGATATTTAAAGACTGGATTAAAATTGATAAAGCAATTGCAATTTTATTATACTAATGCTGCTGAGGGTATTAGGACAATATATCCAATTTAGGATGCCCTCTACCTTTAATCTAGTTCTGAAAGAGTTCTTCAAAGCTTCTTTTAAGGCAGAGAACTTCAGATGCATTTTAAGAGCGACAGCAGGCCTCATATTATAATTTTGTTTTTTAAAAATCAGATATTTCCCTCATGAATTTATTTCGTCCTTAACGTCTGCCTTTTGTTAAGCAGAATTAGGTGCTGCTTAACCATTTAAAGCAGTTCCTGTTTTTTGTTCCTGTTACATTTTTACTTGCCTTGGGCTCATTTTTCACTGCAACATGAAGTCTATGAAAACAGCTCAAACATGGCTAGAAGTAAAAGGAACTCACATGTGTTTTGTGCAGTAGAAGAGCTAAAATGCCAAAAATCATAAAAAAAAAAAAAGAAAAAGCTGAAGCAGAATTTTTTTGATTATTCATTTTTCAAAAAATTTGAAAAACTTGGAATCAACGTGCAAAATTTTCTAACTGCCCCTAAATGTTACAAACTCTGGGGTGAAAAAGGACGTCTCACATGCTAGAGATAATTTACAACTTCAGTTTTTAGTTTGTTCCCATCATTGTCTCCTTTCTGCTTTGTGTTAACACAGCCTGCAGTTCAGCCGAAGATTTCACTACTGTTGGTCGCAGCTGACTCAGTAGTGGCTTCTCAGTTGTGAGGTAGAGTGCAAAATTTTTGTTTTTAAGCTTTGAATGCAGCGCCACCTTTTTCTTTTGTTGCGCCCACTTTTCCATACACACTAGTCTTTATGAACTTGTCATTGTCTTTATATATACGTTCCACCACCATAAGCCTGACACATGATGAAAACCCTCTCATTTAAAGGGATAGTTCAGTGGTTTGCTTCATTTCGGCTGCACTAAATTTGATAGAGTTGCAGTTAAGAATTTTATAAAACAGGTTCAATAACATCAGTGTTTACTGACTCACTGGTAAGCCTGTTATTCACTCTGTACTTTAACATTTTGATTAGGCGAAGGGAAACTGACAATTTTTGTCTTTCAAATTTCACTCCAGTCTGGCAGCAACAACAAGGACACTTATTGTGTTTCAAAATTCTGTCACGCATCTCTTATCCATTAAGCCCTTAGTGTAGTTGGACTGT